TTTGTTTGATTGTGTGTGTGAATGTGCGTGCGTGTGTTTGTTTGTTTGTTTGTTTGTTTGTTTGTTTGTTTGTGTGTGTGTGTGTGTTTGATTGTGTGTGTGTGTTTGATTGTGTGTGTGTGTGTTTGTGTGTGTGTTTGTTTGTTTGATTGTGTGTGTGTTTGTTTGTTTGTTTGTCTGTTTGTTTGTTTGTTTGTTTGTTTGTGTGTGCGTGCTTTTGCATGCATGTTCTCCTGCTCTTCTCTCTTTCTTTCTCACTGTCTCTCGCGCTGACTTCTTTCTTTGCTTTATTCCCATCGCATGTGTGCTGTGCATATGAATGCGTGCACTCGTTGTGCGTGGTTATGTGTGCACACACGCGTGAGCAGTTGAGAAGTCTGGCAACACGGAGTCTGTCGACAACCCGCTGCATGAGGCCGCCAAGCGAGGCAACCTGCCCTTCCTCATCGAGTGTCTCACAAACGGCGTCTCTCCCAACGCCCTGGATAAGGTTCGCGCCGTGTTTGTGTTGTGTTGGTGTTGTGTTTGTGTTGTGTTGTTTAATGTTGTGTTGTGTTGTGTTGTGTTGTGTTGTGTTGTGTTGTGTTGTGTATGTTGTGTGTGTTGTGTGTTGTGTGTGGTGTGTGTGGTGTGTGTGTTGTGTGTTGTGTTGTGTTGTGGTGTGTGTTGTATTGTGTGTGTATGTGCATGCATGTGGCCGCGTGCATGTGCCTGTGCTGTGTGTCACTATACATGCATTCATGCATTCATGCATTCATGTGTGTGTGTGTGTGTCCTCCTTCAAGGCTGGCGCAACACCATTGCATTGGGCAGCGCGTGGCGGACACGTCGACTGCGCAGAGGAACTCCTCAAGGTGCCGATGGATGGTGGTTATTGGTGGTGGTGATGGTGGTGATTGGTGGTGGTGATGGTGGTACGGTTCGCTCTCTCTCTCCATTCATTACACACACACATACACACACACACACACACACACTCACACACACACACACACACACACACACACGCACACACACACGCACACACACACATATACACATACACACATACACACTAACGCCCACTCTCCCCTCATCCCCCCCCACACACACACACACGTGTGGCAGCGGCCGAACTGCCGTGCGGATGTGCAGAACAAGTTGGGCGACACGCCCCTACACAACGCGGCGTGGAAGGGTAGCGTCGAGGTGAGATGGACAATGGACACGGGATTGCGTATTGCGTTCGGATTGGTTGAGGTGGAGAGGGAGGGGCATGTACTTGGATGTGTCGAGAAGATGAGCAGGTAGCGAGTTGAGCACCACACACACACACACACACACACACACACACACACGCAGACAGATACGCACACACAACACACACAATTGCACATGGCACACACATGCACACACATGCACACACATGCACACACATGGCTCCAAAATTCTCACCATACCGTCACCCATGGGGCATCTGTGTGCTTGGATTTGGTGCAAGGTTGTGAAG